TGATAATTGGATGGGTTGGATGGTCACATAAATGCACGTGTTTTAACTGTAGTGGAAGAGCTTGATTGGGGAATGGCAGGTTCTGGAGCACCAGTCTTCAGTACTGTTGTTGGAATGTTATCAGGGCCCAGTGCCTTCACCTGTTTCTTGACATTGAGGAGTGAATTATATTGGCTGAAGACTGGTATCTGTAATGCTGAGGTCCATCAGAGAATGCTGAGATGAAGTGGGGGAAGAAAAGGCAGAAATTGCTGGAAAAGCTGAGCAGGTCTAGCAGCATTTGCGAAGAAAAATCAGTTAACATTTCGGGTCCGGTGACGCTTCTTCAGAGCTGATGGTAGCTAAGAAAAGTTGGTTTATATGGAAGGGTGGGGATAAGAAGTAAGTGATAAGTTAGGATAGAGCACAAAGAGAGAAGAAAAGTCAGACAGACAAAGGAGTTGATAACCACTCTGGCTAGGAGGGTGAATAGCTGTTATTGAAGAGACTGATAGTGGCTAACAATGACTATTGTGTAATGGCAGGCTATGTGATTAAAAAGGCCTGGTGTGTGGGGTAGGGGGCTAGGACATGGGAGACTTTAGGCCTTAAAATTATTGAACTCAGAATTGAGTCTGGAGGGCTGCAGGTTTCCCAAGCGGAAAATGAGGTGTTCTTCCAGCTTGCACTGAGCCTCGCTGGAATACTGCAGCAAATCTGAGACACACATGTTGGCCAGGAAACAGGGCAGTGTGTTAAAGTGGCCGGCAACTGGAAGCTCGGGGTTATTTTTGTCGGCAAAACTTAGATGTTCTGTAAAGCTACGCTTCATTTCCCCAATCTTTTTATTTATTCATTCAGGGGATGAAATCATTGCTGGCTAGGGCAACATTTATTGCCCATCCCTAATTGGCCAGAGGGCAGTTCAGAGTCAACCACATTGCTGTGGGTCTGGAGTCACATGTATGCCACACCAGGCAAGGATGGCAGCTTCCTTCCCTAAAGGACATTAGTGAACCAGATGGATTTTTCCAGCAATTGACAATGGATTCATGGTCATCATTAGACTCTTAATTTTACTTTTACTTTTTAATTGAATTCAAATTCTACCATCTGCTGTGGTGGGATTCAAACCCAGGTCCCCAGAACATTATCTGGGTCTCTGGATTAACAGTTCAGTGATAATACTACTAGACCATTGCCTCTCCTAATGTGGAGGAGACCACATTGTGAGCAGTGAATGCAGTAGACTAGATTGTGGAAAGTACAGATCCATGGTAAAGAAAAGGCAGCTGGGTCCAGCAAACTGGAAATCCTGGAACTGGTGTAAAGCGTCAGAGGGGTCACTGATGTATATGGGCAAGGAAGAAAACAGTCAAGGTAGGAAGAGGTGAGTTCTGTGGGCCAGGAGCAGGCTGCCCTGTTTGTGGATTCTTGGAAGGAGGTAGAAGCAAGCTGTGCGAGGCTGGGGGACTATCTGCCTAGAGGTAGTGATGGGGAGATCACCGGATGAAATTAGGTCAGTTACTGTAGTTGATAAAATGGCCTGATGTGCCATTGACCAGGGGAAGACAGGAGTGTGTCTGAGAGCTGGCGCTCAGCCTCTGCAATATTGAGGTCAGTGCACCAGACTACAATTGCATCACCCTTATCAGCAAGCTTAATAACAAAGTCAGGGTTGGATCTAAGCGCATTGAGTGCAGTTAGTTTGGAGGGAGATAAGTCGCCTCAATCTCTTTGTCAACTCCACCACCCTCACCCATTGTCACATTGACAGTTCTCACTGAACAGATTGAGTGCAGGTAAAAGGCTAGAGGGAGAGTGTTGGGACGGGGAGAGGACTCTTGCCCAAAGAAATGGGCACAGAGGCGAAGACAGCAGAAGAGTTCGATATCATGTTGTGCCTGAAATTAATTAAGGTGGGGATGCAGGGGATAAAGCGGAGACCTTTGCTGAGTATCGAACATTCAGCATTGGAGAATGGAAGATTAGGAGGGATCCTGACAGGAGGTGGAGTTGGGGGAGGGGATGGCGTCAGAAGAAAGGGAAGGAGAGGAAGGTTCCAGAGGGCCGTGGGTAAGTGAGTTGTTGCATCTTGTGGGCCTTGATGCCTGAAAGGAAAAGAAAAAGTTTCTGATTAGCATGACGAATGAGCCAGAGGATGAAGTGGAACTGCAGAGTGGTGCAGTCCTGAGCCAGCTGTTGGGGAGAGGTCAAGAGTGTGCATGTGATACAGCATGGCACTGAGTGTGGATCTCAGGATGTTGTCAGATCACTGAGCTACCTGTGATCCTGGGTGGATTCAATGCATAAGGGATGAAACTTGAGTTGGAAGCCACTTGGGGTGAATCTGAGCCAGGTCTAGTTGCTGAGGAATGTGATATGGCTGTGGAAACAAGTTTTAGCAAATACTTGGTCAAACACTGGGAATGACAGTGAAATTAATATCGGTGAACAAGAAAAAAGATTGGAACAGAAATCCTTTTGGACAGAGGAGCAGAGCTTCAAGGGTGGGCATGCATGTGGCAGAGTTAAATATTTAAATTTGAATTAAATATAGAATTTGAACTGCAGATGCTGTAAATCGGGAACAAAAAACAGTAGTTGCTGGAAAACTCAGCGGGTCTGGCAGCATCTGTGAAGAAAAATCAGAGTTAACGTTTCGAGTCCAGTGACCCTGCCTCAGAATGAGACAAATCATCCAGTTGGCATTTCTGGCTGAAGATTGCTGCAAATGCTTCAGCTTTATCTTTTGCACTTGTGTGTTGGGCTCTTCCATCATTGAGGTTGAGGGATATTTGTGGAACCTCCTCTCCAGTGAGTTGTTTAATTGACCACCACCATTTACGACTGGATGTGGTAGGATTGCAGAGCTTAGATCAGATCTGTTGGCTGTGGGATAGCTTAGCTCCGTCTATCACATGCTGCTTATGCTGTTTGGCATGCAAGTAGTCCTGTTTGGTGGCTTCACCAGGTTGACACTTCATTTTTAGGTATGTTTGGTGCTGCTCCTGGCATGCCCTCGTGCATTTTCCATTGAACCAGGGTTAAATATCTGGATTAATGGTAATGATTGAATGGGGGATGTGTTGGGATGTGAGGTTGAGGATTGTATTGCAGTATAGTTCTGCAGCTGTTCATCGCCGGCAGCACCTCATCGCCGCCAAGTCTTGAGTTGCTGGATCTATTCAAAGTCTGTTCCATTTAGAACAGTGATTAGTGCCACACAACACGATGCAGGATATTTTCAATGTGAAAGCAGAACTTTGTCTCCACAAGGACTGTGCAGTGGTTACTCTTAATGATACTGTCATGGTTAGATGCATCTGCAGCTAGGAGATTGGGAAGGATGAGGTCAGATGTTTTTCTGTCTTGTTGCTTCTCTCAACCACCTGCCGCTGACCCAGTCTGGCAGTTGTGCCCTTTAGGACCTGACCGGCTTGATCAGTAGTGCTGCTGCCACACCATTCTTGGTGGTGAATATTGAAATTCCCCACCCATTGTATATTTCATGCCCTTGATTCCCTCAGTACTTTCTCCAAGCATTGCTCACCATGGAAGAGTACTGATTCATCAGCCAAGGGACGAGGTTGTCATGACAATTCATGGGGTCTTGACTCATGTTGAAGACTCCAAGGGCAACTACTTCTGGACTGTATACCCCTGCTAGGTCTGACTTGCTAGTGAGACAGGATATATCCAGGGATGGTGATGGTGTCTGGGACATTGTGTAAGTATAACTGTCAGGCTGTTGCTTGACTAGTCTGAGACCGCTCCTTCAGTTTTAGCACTAACAAGATGTTAGGAGGACTTTGTAGGGTTGTTTCTGCCGTTGTTGTTTGCAGTGTCGTCAGTTGATGCTGGATGGTCCATCCAGTTTCATTTCTTTGTATCAATCGCTGTGAAGTCTCTACAACTGAGTGGCTTGTTAGGCCATTTTGAGAGCAGTAGAGAGTCCACTCCATTAGTGTAGTTCTGGAGTCAAATGTAAGCTGGACTGTGAGGAGGGGAACAAAAACAGAAATTGCTGGAAAAGCACAGCAGGTCTGGCAGCATCTGTGAAGAAAAGGATCAGTGTTAACATCACTAATTAACTGGAACAGGGATATTTCCTTCCCTGAAGGATATGAGTACTTACATTCCTTCATCTTAAAGCTTTATAACAGGTATTTTGTTCAAATATACAATCCCTTATTACAATAAGCTGTGAAATTCATATTTCCACTTCGAAGAATATAAAACGTCATGTAGTTATCAAAAAAACTGAAATTAACACTTACTGTGATTATGAATGTTTATGGAAGCAGTCATGCAACAGTAAGGTATCCCTCAGTTTGTCATCAAGTGGAGATAGAAAGCAAGGATTTTTCTAAATGCCTCGATGGATCCTCTTGACAGTTCCTTTTGACAATTCCAATGAACTGACAGTTGGAGTTTATGCACTTTCTATGATCGTTCATGCCTACTTTTAATAATTCAAGCAGGCACCTTATCATCTCCCCACCCCCTCCCCAGCCGCCGCCACCACCACCACCACCACCACCACCACCCAAACGAGACTAGGCCAGATTGGGAAGTCTGGTCAGCACAGACGAGTTGGACCAAAGGGCCCGTTTCTGTGCTCTCTGACTGTGTGACTCTATTTGAAAAACCCCTCAGTAGGCGAGTGTAAATTGACGATCTTGTGGCGCAATGATAATGTGTCTACCTCTGGACAAGAAGTTCAAGGTTCCAATCCTGCTGCCCAGAAGAATATGGTCACAGATCTAAACCGGTTGAGTAAGAACACTTTTTTTTATCCAGTTGCTAAATGTGATTATAGATATGAAAGTATAACTTGTTTCATAAAAAGCAGTGAAACATTGCTTAATGTACTAGTGGATGGATGTCACACATGCCCAGCCCATTTATACTGGGAAGATTCCATTTTCAGTACTTGGCTTGTGATTTAGTGTCAGTACTTTAATGTTGACAGATGATGCTTGGCAAGAATTTACTAAAGTGATGTATTTTTTTTTCAGACAAGCGCATTGAAAAGCTTGATACAGATGACCTTGATGAGATTGAAAGGATTGCTAACTGAAGTGCAACAGGCTGAACTAGTTTAAACCCTTCTCAACCCTGTGACAACATGCACTGCCCAGCTGCAATTGGACTTTTGGACTTGGAATCCATTGGGTTATTCTGCAACCAGTTTTAAGAACAGACTGACAAAATCAAATTATGTTGAATTTACCTCATTTAAAACTTTGCAGTTGGACTATAAAATTTTGTACTTTTCCTTCAAGTGAATAAAAAATGCCAGGAAATTGTTTACATTTGAAACATTCAACATGCTTTATAAAGTTTGTCTTAGTTAACCTTAAACACAAAAAATAGAAATAAAATTTGAATTGCCAAACTGAAAAAGGTAGGAGATGTAAAAATGTTAAGGAAAAATGGCCTTTTCCATTAGGTGGACTGCATTTTTAGTGGGTTACAAGCATAGATCTATATCTGTGAAGTGAAATGGATACTTAATTGCAAAAATTGGTCTGATGCAAAAATGCCATTACACTATAACACTTCATAATTATCCTTCATTATTTTGCATATGAATTAGAGAAGGTATTGGATTTTTACTGTCAATTTAGCCATGGCAAATCGTTTATTTAGGTTTATTTTCGATGTGATTTATTCATGGCTAGTTGTCTCCTGGATCGATAAAATTATTTTTGATCTAGTTATTAAGTCCATACCTTTATTCAGAAATATCTTCAGTTATACTCGAGCCTGAAGTAAGCAAGAAGAAAATTCTTGTCATAGTGCCACACCAAAAATTCCAGAACTTCTTGGTAACAACTTTCTTTGTTGTAGGAAACAAAAAATTAAAACTAACAATCACATTTTAAAAATCCCAGTACCTTAAATAAGAAAAGTCAATGTTTAATTATGGTTCCTTTAACATTGAAATGCTCATAAGAAAATTTAAGTTCTTGATATTAATTGAGAATCTGGTTTGATTTTTACCTAATATTTCTGAGTTTGGGGAAGAGTAGCATTGCTGGGCTGAAATTTATGTTGAACAGTGAGGAATTTGGACAAATCAAAATAAAAATGCTCTTTGGATAAGTTGTATTACATTAGCATGTAAAGTGCTTTGCTCAATTTAAGAGCTAGCAGGTGATTTTTTTGAAATAGCTGCACTGAATGAACCTATTCTATATAATGAGCTCTGAATATCATATTATATCTGCACAAATGATATGTACCATTGTCAGCCCTTAGATTTGTATCCATTTTATGCTGAGAATGCTTGTGTATGCTGCAATGAGTATAAACCAAAAGTTATTCACTGAATTTCAGAATTGGGATAGCTTTGTAGACCTGTACCCTTCTGTTAAATATGAGCCTTTTATATTCAGTACTTATGTATGAATTGACTCGTGAAAGTATCTTTGCCATACATTATTCTACTGTACAAGGAAGATGGCTAGAAAAACCAATGAATTTGAGGTTTGACATAACCTAGTCAGACTACTGCAGTATGTGAACATCAATTCACCATTGTAATGTTTTCCACTTACACCAGGTCCACATTTATTGAATGGTTAACATTCCTATCAAATACATTTATACATAGGCCAAGCATTTTTAAACCATATCACAAAAAAGTATTGTCCCTTTAAAAATGAGTTTGGAAGTCCACATTTTTATATGTCTGTTTGAAAGCAGAGATTGGATCACTACTTGTGCTTGTGAATGGAATCCCTGCCTTGAACCTGTCATTTGCTTTGTGTGTTGGATATGTTCAGCAGTTACTTTGAGGTAGCTGCCATTGCAATATACCAGCTTTACTGGCACATTTTTTTTTTAACAAATAGTGTTAAGAAACAAGTATTTTGAAGAGTATAGTGATTTTATTTAAAAAGGGAATTCCTGGTTTGGCAAAAAATTATTTGCAGTTAATGGCCAGCTGTTGAAAATCTTACTGTTTATATTTCTCAACTAATGTCTTCAATTGGTGACTGTTGCAGCTTTCCATAGAGTGAAAACTGGTTAACTATCTCACCCCACATTGGAAGTGTTTAAAAAATTGGGGTAAAGAACTAAAAATACAGTCTGAGAAAATAAAATACTTATGCAATATTTTGGCTGTATAATTCTGTTCAAATACAGGAACAAATTAAACTTTTACCAAGTAAAAACTGAAGCTAATTTGAGATTGTACCTAAAATTTTAGGAAAATTTGACAAAATGCCCTCTCTTCAAATATTTGTATACAGACTTTACCTTGAAATGACTGTGCAGCTTAAATTACTGTATTGAATTTTGTATGTTAGGGTGTATGCATTTGTTCACAATGCATTTTTATTTGGTTGTGAACTGGATTGTAATTGGAAATATTTAAACTGCAGAAACGAATGAGTGCTTTGAGTGTCATAATGAATTTGAGATTGAAATGCCTCTAATTTTACAAATTAAAGATAATCTTTGGCAGCCCTTACAATGGAGGAAACTAATCTTGTGTACTATTTGGAATAAAGAATAAGTACGTCACCTATTTTGAAATTTTAACTTATTCATATGGTATTACAGAACTTGAGTATTGTTGGGAAAAAAAGACTCAAGGTTTACATTTTGTGTTTTTCAGGGTAATTCACAAGAAATACCAATGTAAAGAGAAAAACAACATGCTTTGAGAAGTGTGCTGATTGGTTGGCAAGTGAACTCTGAAGGCACTGTTGCCATGGAGAATGAAGCAGTTATGTGGTGAATGATAGTGAATTTTCAAGGTTTTTTAAAATGGTCAAACTGCATGATTTAATGTCATTTCACCCTCCTGAGAAATCAACTGGAGAATGAGTTGAAATAGGTGCAGTATGTTTGCACGTTCTTTGCAAAGAACGAGACCTGTGCATTAATGTATGTAACTTGTAGTACACCCATGTGCACCACACTACAACCTCAATTGACCATCCTAAATTGGCTGTCAGTATAATTTTGTTCTCAGCATTATTTAGCAAGCATGCAGTTGAATACAGATAGGACCTTCTTGAACAGCAGAAGGAGTATTCTGCTTTATACAATCCACCAGTCTTTATGCTACAGGACTTGCATATCTGGCATCTCACTGGCACTGAAATTCATATGCCGCCACAATATCAAACGTTTGCAGATGTTGAAGATCTGGGAAAAAAGATTGCTGGAGAAATTTGGGTCTGGCAGCATTACTGGCCATGGGGTGAACATTAACTTTGCTTTCTCTCCACAGATGCTGCACAGACCTGAGTTTCTCCAGCAATTTCTGTTCTGAGATACAATTTGTTAGTGTGATGGACAGAGCATCTTCTTCGTGGTAAATGGAATTTCTGTTGTTACTGTGCAGCAGTAGTGTACGCAGCAAACATCATCTATTGCTCAAAACTTGGAGGTATTTTACTCAAAGTAATCTGAGATAGATGGGGCACTTTTCAGCACCAAAAACAATTATTTTGGGTCTGTTAGAGTTTCTGCGAAGTAGCCATTATTCTGCAAGATAGGGTCAGAGATCTCATAACCCCAGGTTATAGTCTCAGCAGCTTATTTGAAGATACAAGCTTTTGGAGCCTCACTCCACCTTTCAGGTGTTAGAGAGAGAGTTAGTATCAGACACAGAATTTATAAGTAAAAGATCAAAGGGTCACACCACTGATGAGGATGAATTAAACGAACCTAAGATGCTGTTACTTCTTTAATCACTTAGAAGGTTTTGATTGATTAATATGTATATGTAAATCCCCAAATTCCTTTCAAGTCACTGCCCTGAGAGAACTAAAGATCTTATCAGTGTAAAGAAGTGACATTTTACGTCAGACAATATATGTTAGGTGTGAGGTCTTTAGATCTGTTTGTGTTTTGGCTTAGAGTCAGACTGGTTTTATCTCTAAAGTAGGAATTTATAAAATACAACATTGACTGTCCTGTCTCATCCACCACTTGCACAGCAGATACTCGTGACTTGGCCAACATTGTCTATCTCATAATCTGCAGGCAAGGATGCCTCGAGGCATGGTATATTGGCGAAACCATGCAGATGTGTTGGCACAGCAACAATTGTCAAACAGGGATGTTCCCTCCCATTGGGGGAGCACTTAAGTGGTAAAGAACACTCAGCCTCGGATCTTCAGTAAATGTCAGAGCTGCCTACCAGAGGCTGATAGCCAAGTTGGGTACTCATGAGGGTGGCCTCAAGCAGAATCTTGGGTTTATGTTGCACTACAAGTGACCCCACCACACTATACACTCTGTCACTGTCACTCGCACAAATACCTGGACACATACTCACTCTCCCTTGCACACAGTCTTCTTTCTTCCCCCACCCCCAACCCAACGCACACACACACACACACACACACACACACACAGACACAGTATCCCACACTCTCTTTCCCACACACCGATACGCACTCTCATTCTCGTGCCCGCTCCGTTGGGCTCACTAATATCTGTCTGGGTTGCTCTTGTGACTTCTCCGTGTAGCCAAACATGCACATTGTATGTGGAACATTAGGCAAGTCGTGGAATCCTGCATCCGCTGTATCAGTGATAATAAGGTGTAGAGCTGGATGAACACAGCAGGTCAAGCATCATCAGAGGAGCAGGAAAGCATTTTCTGAAGAAGGGTCTAGGCCTGAAACATCAGCTTTCCTGCTCCTCTGATACTGCTTGGCCTGCTGTGTCCATCCAGCTCTACACCATGTTATCTCGGATTCTCCAGCATCTGCAGTTCCTACTATTTCTCCACTGTATCAGCTAAGCTTTCAAAGAGCTGACCTGTAGGTCAAACTGTTGATATCCTTCATCAGGTCTTGTTCCTTTGAAATAGTCACTTATGTAAATAGTCATTTTGCTAATACAGAACTTGTTTTGCTGATAAAAGAAAATTTTCTTGACTGTTTTCTGCTCATTAGAATAATTCACAATTTTTTTTATTCATTCGTAGGAGGTGGGTATTGCTGTTTGGCCAGCATTTATTGCCCGAACCTAGTTAGCCTAATCTTATCAAAGGTGAGCTGCCTTCTCGAACCACTGCAGTCTGCGTTCTGTAGGTTAACCCGTATTGTCACTAGAAATGGAATTCCAGGATTTTGACCCAGTGACAGTGAAACTAAGAGAAGATATTTCCAAGTCAGGATTGAGACTGATTTGGAGGGGTGCTTGCAGGTGATGGTGTTCCCATGTATCTACTGCCCTTGTCTTTCCAGATGAAAGTGGTTGTGGATTGGGAAGGTGGTGTCTAAGGATCTTTGATTTTCTGCAGTGCAATTTTGTAGATCGTAGACACGGCTCCTACTGAGCATCAGTGGTGGAAGGTGTGGATGTGGTGCCAATCAAGCGAGCTGTTTTGTCCTGGATGGTGTCAAGCCTCGAGTGTTGTTGCAGCTGCATGCATCCAGGCAAGTGGGGAGTACTCCATCAAACCCCTGATTTCTGTGAGATGCGCAGGCTTTGGGGAGTCAGGAGATAAGTTACTCACCACAGTATTCCTAGCCACTGTCTTGGTGATGAGTCCAGTTTAATGTTGTTAACGGGGGCTTTGGTGATGGTAACACCATTAAATGTCAAGGGGCAGTGCTTAGATTTTTTTCTTGGTGAATCATTGCCTGGCATTTGTGTTGCTTACTGCCAATTAGCCCAAGCCTGGATATTGTCCAGATCTTGCTGCATTTGAATGTTGACTGCTTCAGTAACTGAAGAGTTGCAAATGGTGCTGAGCATTGTGTAATCATCAGTGAATATCCAAACTTTTATGACCTTATGATGAAGAGAAGGTCATTGATGCAGCAGCTGAAGATGGTTGGGCCTAGGACTCTCCAACTCCTGAGTTATTCTGGAGCTGAGATGACTGACCTCCAACCACCAAAATGCCCTTCCTATGTGCCAGGTATGACTCCAATCACTGGAGAGTTTGCCCCAAAGCTATTGATTGCTAAGGCTTCTTAATGCTACAAGGTGTGATGTAAACTGATTTTTAAAAAAAATATAATTTATTTCAAGTTTGGGTTCTTGGATTCTGGGTTAATGAGAATTTTTTTTTTTTGTGTCCAAAGTGGGTGCAAGTTTGAAGCCACAGTGATTTTTGAGAGGTTTTGAGGTTTAACTTTAATTGGATCCTCTGCACATAGAGTTTTAAGACTGGACAAGACAAGCTTACTAACCCCCCCTTCCACTTCCTTATCCAAGCCATTTATAGAAATCACAAAGAGCAGAGATCCCGGCAGAACACCACTGGTCTCCGAGCTCCAGGCTGAATACTTTCCATCTACTACCACCCTCTGTCTTCTATTGGACAGCCAGTTTTGTATCCAGACTGCCAAATTTCTCTGAATCCCATGCCTCCTTACTTTCTGAATGAGTCTACCATGTGGAACCTTATCAAATGCCTTGCTAAAATCTATATACACCACATCCACTGCTCTGCCCTCAATGTGTTTTGTCACATTCTCAAAGAATTCAATAAGGCTTGTGAGGCATGACCTGCCCCCCTCAAAGCTATGCTGACTATTTCTAATCAAACTGTGCTTTTCCAAATAATCATAAATACTATCTCTCAGAATCCTCTCCAATAATTTGCCCACCACAGAAGTAAGACTGACTGGTCTGTAATTTCCAGGATTATCCCTATTCCCTTTCTTGAGCAAGGGAATGACATTTGCCACCCTCCAATCTTCTAGAACTACTCTGGTGGACATTAAGATTGCGAAGATCATTGCCAAAAGGGCAGCAATCTCTTCCCTAACTTCCTGTAGTAATCTTTGGTATATCCCATCTCGTGCAGGGGACTTATCTATCTTTGTGGCTTTTCAAAAGTTCTAACACGTCCTCCTTCCTAATATCAACCTGTTCGACCATATCTGCCTGTTTTATGCTGTCCTCACAAACGTCAGGGTCCCTCTCACTGGTGAATACTGAAGCAAAGTATTCACTAAGGACCTCCCCTACGTCCTCTGACTCTGCGCACAAGTTCCATCCACTATCCCTAATTGGCCCTATCCTCACTCTGGACATCATCTTGTTCCTCACATAAGCATAGAACGCCTTGAGATTTTCCTTGATCCTACCCACGAGTAACATTTCAAGGAGGACTAGGTGATGCAGCATTTAAACCAGTCACAGCTTTTTAAGGATGTGTTCACTCTGCAGACTGCAAGGTTCCACTAAGTTGTTTCTCTCTGAAGTAAATGATGATGACTTCACATCATGTGATCGGAATTTTAGTGACAGTCCAACACATTTCTATAAATACACAACAGGAAGTTTATAAGGGCATTAGATTTTAATTAACAGTGCCATATGCTAACAGTTTATAATTGTTTATTTATACCTAGACTTTAATTACTTATAATAAATGGTAATTCTTGTTCAGACCAGGTTTCTGTGCTGTCCTTGCTATCAACATGGGTTTGAAGGTCAGGTAAACTTGGATATTTTGCCTACTTTATAAAATCCTTAACTTCAGTGACAACTCCAGAAATCAAGATGGCACTTGATTTCCAGCATGTTACTCCAATGGTTGT